AAAAAAAAAAAAAAAAAACAGATGCAATTACAGGATATAGGGTGAACTTCAACAACACCTACTTTAATACGTAGGGCTGAGCCAGTAACAATATTCCCTTTACATTCCTACATGATTCATTATAAGGTCTAACACAGCACAGTGAGCAGAGAAGCCACATTGGCTCTCCTCCTCCACTGCCACACATACACTCCTAAAGATAAACCACATCGTATTGGGTTTGCAATACCAACTTCAATCATGTTTTATGGGCTTACTAACTGAACTCTTATCTGTGTTCGTACATATATGTATAAACAGGACAAAGCTATTAAAAGCAGCACATAATGAAATCAGAAGACCTGATTTCAGCTCCAAGTCCATTATACAAGTAAGACATTACATTCTCTAAGCACTGCTTCTTTCACCTCACAATGAGGGCTAAAGGCTAAGCATGGCCACTGGGTCAGAACCACTGAAAATCTAAAGGAGAAATCTCTGGACAGACTGCTTACTCTGTCATGTGATGGCCTCCCTAAAGGTATAGTCTCCAGTACCGACTTTCTCCCTTATTCTCTCTGCATTACTGGTTTTTGCTCCCTTCTTCATATTATTCTACCCCTATCTTTTCCAATGTATTATCAAGCTCCACTGAACCATGGTGAACACGCTCTTCCATCTTCAACTAAGTTCCCCAAGGACTGTTTCCTAACTGGGCCCTGCTGTCCCCAGAGGACAATACCTTCCCTTCAGCCCTGTGGAATGACAGACAGCTCCTCACCCTCTATGTGCAATAAATGTGGGTGACAAGACATGAAGGCCAACATTTTCTCAATTGTGCCCTGAAGTTTGGACATTGTCAATGGATTGCTTTTAAATGTTTACTCTTTCAGCAAAGATTTAACGGGCACCTATTATGTGCCAGGCAATGGGCATGCAAATATAAAAAAGAAACCAGACTCCGCTGGGAGAAGAAACAAGGGAAGCCTATAGTGTTCCCTATAATGACACATATCCACTAAGCACTGAGTGACCCTGGAGAGGCCAGGCCACTCCAACCATAACCGGGTCAAAAAGGGAACTAACAGGCTCTGAACAAAAAGTTCTCATGTATGTCTCACCCACATAAGCACTAACATATTATCATTATATTATATTTTTTGTACTATAACAATCACCACTACCACTACCACCACACTGCTACTAAGCATTCTTTCTGCTTCTACTACTTCCTCTTCCCCTCATTCTTTTTTCTTTTACTTGTTTTGTTTTTGGTGTTGCTGGATTTTTTTTTTTAATGAATTTTTTTGGTTTTTGTACAGGGTCTCACTGCACAGCTTGGACTCGTAGTGATCCTCCTGTTTTTAGCCTCTCCCGTGTTGGGATTACAGGCATGTGCCACCACACCTGGTCTCGGTGGCTAGCTCAGCACATGGTGCCAAGAATCAAACCCTGGTCCCTATGCTTGCCCTGGTGTTCCTGGATATTAAAACAAGAACTTTCACACTGAGCTACAAAACAAATTTTTTTAGGCAGGGTCTTGCTAAATTTCTAAGTTACCTAGGTGAGGCTTGAACTTGACATCCTCCTGCCTCACCCTTCCAGAATGCTCATTTTTTTTTTTTTTTTTTTTTTTTTGGCGGAACCAGTGCTCAGGCCCTTGCGCTTGCCAAGGTCAGATTCTAGATGTGTACCACCATGTGGGGCTACCATTTCTTCTTTTCTTTTTGTTTGTATTTTATTCAAGGGTGTACAGGGTGTTCAGTGCCCCACTACTAGATCAGACTTGTAGTGATCTGCCTGTTTTCAGCCTCCCAAGCACTGGGATTAGAGGTGTGCACCACCACGCCCAGTCTCAATTGCCGTCTCAGTGTGCCCCAGGGGCAGGGCCAGGAATCAAACCCCTGGCCCCTGTGCCTGCTTGCAAGAGCTCTAATCCACTGAGCTATTTCACTGGCCCTTTTTTTTTTTTGCGGAACCGGGAATTGAACTCAGGCACTTGTGCTTGCCAGGGAAGCATTTGTTCTACTGAGCCATCTCCTCAGCCCCACCATTTCTTCTTAATGGGAAGAGTTAAAGTTGCTATTTCAACCCATGGAGGATACAGATACTCCCTACTCAATGGTTCTTGAGTTTGTACACACCATTTAGGAGACGCTGGTGGGGAGGTGGGGTTTGGGGGTATCCAAGGAGCCTTGTGGTCTCTCTCAGGCTGTCGGTTTACTTTTAACCTAGATGAAACTGTCCTCTGATGCAGCCTGTTCTTGCTGTGAGGTTGGTTTAGTCTACTTCTTTCAGCTTTGTGCAGTCCCTGTAAGAGGTAAATATGAATTACAAAGCCAAACAAATATCAAAGACACTCTGGCTTCAACCTCTGACTCACTGAAGTACCCAGTGCTTCTTTGTTGTTCCTGCACCTATTCAGTGAAACCTAAGAAAGCGCTGTGGCAGGGACTTAGGGAAGAGTACAGATTACACTGAACCAACTCCAGCGCCAGTGCTCAAGGATTAGAACTCAAATACCCACCTCTGCCATCTTGCTATACAAGACTATATTTTCTTATGTGTACAATTTCTCATTAAACTTTTTTTTTTTTTTTTTTTTGCGGAGCCGGGATTGAACTCAGGCCCTTGTGTGTGCAAGGCAAGCGCTTATTCAACTGAGCTATCTCCCCAGCCCCTTTTCATTCAATTTTTAATTTTTTTTTGCAGAACCAGGGATTGAACTCAGGTCCTTGCACTTGCCAGGGAAGCACTTATTCCACTGAGCCATCTCCCCGGTTCCTTAATTTTTAAATTCTACAATTTTTTTTTTGGAAGCCGGGGATTGAACTCAGGCCCTTGTGCTTGCCAGGGAAGCGCTTATTCCACTAAGCCATCTCCTCGGCCCCTCCACATTGTTTGAAGGGAATTTTTTAAAGCACTTTTTTTTTTGCAAGACCAGGGATGAACTCAGGACCTTGCACTTGCCAGATAAGCACCTATTCTACTGAGCTATCTCACCGGCCCCTTTAAAGGGAAATTATAAAATGTTCAGTTAAAAGACTTCATCTCTCTGACTTTAGGTCTAAAAGGTATGAACCAAGCTATTTTAGGTCACCACAGAGCACAAGGCTCTGTCTCTGAGAACATCACACAGAATTCTTACAGGCTCAATCCTGACTCCTTAATCCTTCAATCTCCATTAAAGGTATTTTGGGGAAAGAAATAAAAGACTCAACCTTCATCCAGGCTGTGTTAGTAACTGGTGATAACTGCTAAATCTCCGTCATCTAGGTCCACCTGACAACACACAGGTTTGCTATAGAAGTCTCTGGACAGCACTAACAGGTGGAAATCACCACAGTATGGCTACCTGGAGTAGGCGGTACTCTGGGTCAGTCTGGCACTGTAGCACCCTAAGGGAGGTTTAAATAGAAGTCTAAAATCTAATGTAGTTTCAAATCAAGTTCTAACTATCCAGCTGACTTTCAAGGGCATATTAAAAAGTACTTATCCAAGACGCACTTTAATATTTATTTGTTTATTTATTTATTTTGCTGTTTGAGACAGGGTCTCACTCTGTAATCCAGGCTGGTCTTGAGAAAGTTGGTTTGTTTTTTTTTTTTTTTGCGGGCGGGGGGGTGGTGCCTTAAGGGTGGGTCTGGTAAGGCATGTGGAGCTGGGGCCTGAACTGCGGTATCCTGCACCTGACTGTGTTTGCATAAGCAGGCACTTAAACAACTGAGCTAACCAGCAGGCCCCCCCTCCAAAAGTTGAGAAAGGTTTTTTTTTTTTTTTTTTTCTAGGCTGGTCTTGAACTCACTATGTAGCTTAGGCTGGCTTTGTATTCATGACAATCCTCCTGCCTCAGCCTCCAGAGTGCTAGGATGACAGTCATGCACTACCATGCTCTATTGAGTGATTATTAATGAACAGTATTTACCATTTTCACATCAACAAATCTTAAGTCCTCTCAAACCTCATACTTTCAAATCAGAAGCAGAAAACACCTGAGTTTTAAAATAGACTTCTCAATTAGGACCTTGGAATCGAGTTATTTAGGATCTTACTAAACTAGGACAAGGGACAATGCCTTGTCCTAGTAACAATATTAAAAGCTCTTTTGGTTAAAATATAAAAGAACAACCTGGAGCTAATTTAAATCAGTTTATATTACTGGACTCTAGGGCTCTGGCACCCAACTGCCTGAGAAATAAAATGCTAGCCCCACCAACTAGCTATATGGCACTGGACAGCATCAAATCAATAAAAGTAGGCTGAAAGAAAGGATTCCGTACTTGCTGTAGTCTTGCTGGCACCAGAACATCTTTCTTTCTAAACGGCACACTCTCAGTCTTAGACTTCTTCTTCACTGCTCCTGTTTTTGCCAGGGCCGATGCCTCGTCACTGAAGTTTGCAGTATGGTTTGGAGCAAGTGGGGCTTTGTCCAGGGCGGCCACATCTAATCCATCAAACTCATTTTCCAACCTCGGGGTCACTGGATGCTCTGTATCAGGCTGACACTTATCTACATGTAGATTTCATAAGGTTAAATTAGAAAAATTCAAATCATGCTGGTGACAATGATTATCAGTCAAACTTGCTGCTTCTCTTATACTATTACAAATTTAGAAGCAGAAGCCTAACCATCATGGTTGATTCCCTGAATCCTAGCCCTCACCTTTATTCATTTTCCTGGTCCCTGTGGTCCAATGCTAAACATCTCTTGCCCTCCCCTTGCCCTTTTTTCCTTTTTGCTCCTACCTACACTCAGCCTTGGAGTATACTTGACTATAATAAGAACATACCCTGATACCTTGGTTATCTTTGGTCACTGGGCACCAAAATGGTTTTTCTCAAATCCAAATATTTCAGTACCACTTCTCTACAATTTTTTTTTTTTTCAAAGCCAGGGATTGAATTCAGACCCTTACGCTTGCCAGGCAAGTGCTTATTCTTCTGAGCCATCTCCCCAGCTCCCCACTTTTTTCTTCTTAATATCTTTAATGGCTTCTAATTTGATACAGAATGAAGTCTGAATACTACTCACAACACTCAATCTGTAAAGGGAAAGGCACTACAACTGTATGTAAGCAGATAAAAGCCTCCACAGGAAATTCAACACAATCTGAACACAAACTCAATACAACTGAGAAGAGGATTTAGCAGGGTTTCTAAATATTGGAAGATGGATACTACAAAAGCTGTATCCTCCCCATGAATCAAAATAACTAATTAGACTTACATGAAAAAAAAAAATCCCATTAACACTGCAACAAAACCCATAAGGTATTTGGGAAGAAATCTTATGAAAGCTGTGTAAGACTTTTATAGAAAAATATTAAAAGGTATGTTCAAGGACGAAAAAAAATCTGAGTAAATGTCTTTATGAATGAAAAGACAATACTGTAAAGGCAAGAATTCTCCACAGAGTAATCTCTAATTTCAAATGCATATCCAATTAAAACTGATTTTTGATGGCTCTAAACAGGTCAATTCTAAAATTCATATAAAGACTAAAATACCAGAATTGACCAACTAATTCTGAACAATAAGAAGTACAGAGTGGGGCAGATCTTTCTATATGAAACATAAGGTCCTAGAAACGGACCTATAAGAATGAATGAAGGTAGTGTGGGCGTAATGCAGGAACAAACAGAAACCAAAGGGACACGATGGATATAACAGATGAGTGCGAAGCAGTGGGGCCGTGCAAAAACCAGTGCTGAGACCACTGCCTCCACAGGTAACTAGAAAACCGGATCTCTGTCTCAAAGGGAACAACATTTAAATTCCAAATGAAATGAAGATGTAAGTGTAAGAAGAACATTTTAGAGCTTTAAGAAAAGAATATTATGACATCAGGGCAAAAAAGGACTCTTAAGTACAATACTGATATTACTGAATTTAATTATACTAAACTACAGCTTCCCTTTGATAAAACGGTACCATAAAGTCAACAAGTCAAAATCTGGAAGAATTTGTAAAATTAATTAGCACAGGATTAGTATCTAATGCTATAAAATTTTCTGCAAATCTCTAAGAAAAAGAATCCTACAGAGAAACAAGCAAAGGATAGAAACTAGTAACAGACAGAAAACATCATTTTTCTTTCTTTCTTTCTTTCTTTCTTTCTTTCTTTCTTTCTTTCTTATTTTTTTTTTTTTTTTGGCAGAACCGGGGTTTGAACTCAGGCCCTTGTGCTTGCTAGGCAAGTGCTTATTCTACTGAGTTATCTCCCCAGTCCCCATCATTTTTAAATAAAATGATAAAAGATGACCCACTTCACTAATAATCAGAAAAATTCAAGCAATGAGATAACATTTCATATCCATCAGAGTGTGTGTGTTGGGGGGGGGTAAGTATAACAATACCAAGCTTAAACAAGGAAGTAGAAAAATAAGTACTCTCGCAATCTCCTAGTGCAGGCATAAACTGGCTCAACTACTATGGAAAACAACTTGTTCTACTAAAGTTGAAGATCTGCACGCACTACAACCCAGAATTATATTAGTAGGTATCTGCTCAGCCTAGAGGAACTCTCATATGTGTGCACAGGTAGGCATAAGCACAGATATCCACTTCACTCCATCACGGTTTATAAATACAAAAACCTAACCAGTGTAATGGCCTATCATCTGAGCTACGTGAGAGGCAGAGACAAGAGGATCTCTTGAGTCCAGGATTCTCAGGCCAGTGTGTACAACACAGTGAGATCCCATCTCATCAAAAAAACTGATAACAACCCAAATGACCACTGATGAGTAAGAATAGGAAAATAAAGTATGGCATATTCATACAAGGGAAACCTATACAACAACAACATTGTAATAAATTTAAATTCAGGACTGGAGAGATAGCTCAGCAGTGTACAGTGCCTGCTTAGGGAAACTTAGGCAAGTCCAGGGACCACAACTGATCCTCAGTACCACATGCAGCATCCTCCAGGGTGGGCTGAGCCAGCCACAAAACAAAACAAAAAAATTTGAATTTAGCTTTAATAAATAAGTCCTTCAAACATAAGTGGTGCGAAGAAAATTAAGGAATGATATATATTGTAAGATAGCATGTGTATAAAACTATTTTATATTTTTATGGATCAATACACAAATAGTAAAAATATAAAAATAGAACAGGTTTCTAATAATAATCAGTGACCTCTAGAGAACAGAGGAAGAAAATGGGATAAAACAAAAATATTAAAGGGAGTTCATTCCTTGTGTGCCATGCCAGCCCCACCCCTGGGGCACACTGAAACAGCGATTGAGACCGGGCATGGTGGCGCACGCCTGTAATCCTAGTGTTTGGGAGGCTGAAAACAGGAGAATCACTACAAGTCCAATCTATGTAGTGAGACCCTGTAGACCCTATACTAAACACATTATATATATATATATATATATATATATATATATATATATATATATATATATTCAACTGTACCTGTCATCTTATTTTTCAAAACAAATTTCTATAAAGTAAATGTTTTCATCTGCATAGTTTAAATCTCCAATGTTCATTATTTCCATTCTTTTGTATGTTTAGCATATTTACTAACCAAAGGAAAACTACATTCAGAATTATTTAACAACAATAAATTGAACCTCAGATTTCTCTGCATCACTTCTTTAATCAGATGCTTTCAAAGCTGCACAAATTATACAGCAAGGGAATATAAATCAGAAGAATGATAAAACTGAATCATCAGTCTGTAACTTATTTATTAACTCCCAAGTTGACATACATCAAATCAACTCTGACCTGCAGGTCCTAATATTATAGGCAGCTAAGTTAGAAATAAATGTACAATCAGTGGGGGACTAGTCTCTCAAAAGAAGTCAGCAGAGAAAATACATCAGAATTGTGGCTGGAGGTGCATCTGAAGAAGACCAGAAGATAGAGATACAATGCCCAAACCTACATGCTTCTCTAAGAGATAAACAATGTGCTTGCTTCCCCAGCACATATACTAAAAGACAGACAATAACTTGAGATTATATTATAACTAGGTCCATTAAGTCCAGATATGCATCAGACACTTTGGCGGGTGACCACCACATCTGGACACATACTTTCCCAAAAACATTTGTTTTAGAAGTCACAGATAAGCCAAGATTAATGTTGCTAGCCAAATAAATGTGCTATATGACTCATTTCCCTATTACACCAATATTAACTAAGTGACTTGTAATCCTATAGGTTGATGGTACCACACTGTACCCACACTGCAAATCTGATGTATAAATTACTCCCGACAAAGGCCCTCAGTGACAGCCCACTTTCAAGACTCAGGTCCTGACTCTCAGGACCTGTCATTAAACTTTTCCTACTCTTAACCTCTATTGTCCCTTGGAATTCTTTCTTTGATTTCAAGGGGGCATGAACTCAACACATCTGATATCTAACAGGTTAGGCATTATATATCTTCTTCTTTTTTTTTTTTTAATTTTATCTATTTATGGGGGGGCAGCTCAGCCCACCAGGGGGCGGGGCTGGCTGGCATGTGGTGCTGGGGGATTGAAACACGGTCCCTGTGCTCTGCTAAACTTGTTCTAAGTGGGTGCTTTAGACCACTGAGCCATCTCACCAGCCCTATATCTCTTTTATATCACTAACATCTCTTCAGCTATGATCTGCATAAACTAGCACGCAAATGCAGTACGAACTTCAGAAGCAGCACAGTCTGAAGACTACTGGGGGTGGGGAGGGAGTCACATGCCTCATAACTGACAAGTTAACTAATGCAATCAACCACTGCAGTAACATCAGAAGCCACTAAAAAACTGCACCAGCCAACAATTATGTAAATCACAGGGAGATGATTCAATCAGGCTCAATCATATATCCCAAATGATGAGGGCACAAAGTTTTCTACTCATGTGGCTCCCCATGACATTTTTTAGGGGCCAGGTGGGGAGGAAGAAACATTAAGAAATCAGACTGTAAAATTAGGTAAAGTGATATCTAAAATAGAAACAGAAAAATGAAACCTTCTGGAATATACATTATAAGCACGCACAAAATTTTTTTTTTAAATCAGGTAATCACATTCTTTTCCATGAGCCAATGCATTACATTTTCAAAGCAGTTAACTACAACCATACCCCCATTTATACTAATTATCACTCGTCACATCTTGTACAATGCTTTTTCCATTTGTAATGTAATCCACATTTATCATTTCATTTGAGCCTCTCCATGACATACCCCAGAGCAGGCACAACTCATTGTTTGGGTGGGAAAATAACAGTTTGGTACTTTCTTCAAGGTTACAAGGAGAGTAAATGGCAGAGCCAAATCTTTGGGTACAGCCCCAGTTATTCTGTCCTGCCAAAGATTATGGGGGTGTTCTACATACAAACATATTCCTGAGAACTGAAGCTTCCTTGTCCCTGACCTCACAAATCTCATTTATGTTTTCCTAGTTGGAACATGCCTAACTTAATACAGCCTGTCTTATCAACTGGGACAATATTACGAACTAAAAATAATATCTTACATTTTCATAGCATTTAAAATTATCCAATT